TGTCTCCTCTGCTCTTCCCTGGCCGGCGTGGTGTGGCGGTGGCGGCAGGCGCAGCAGAGTTGTGAGGCTTGCCACAACCTCTTTGGGGAGTACTACTGCAATATCTGCCACCTTTTCGACCGTGACAAGAAGCAGTATCACTGTGCCGAGTGTGGCATTTGCAGGTGTGGGCGGACTGCTTCTGGGAAAAAAGGAGCAAAAAGAAAAACTTTTTGGAGCTTGTTTCATGTCAGCAGGTGTCAGCTGTTTCTTTTAGGTGCCTACTGCACCGGAGCTGCAGTGGGGTTGGCTTGAGAGAGCCCTTTGTATTCGTTATTTTCAGTCTAAGCATAGTGGGTTTTTATAGCAGCATATTGCAAAGAACAAGATCGGGTTTATAGTCTGTATGAATTGCAGGTCTTTTGTAGCTAGCTTGACTTGGGAATTATTTGGCTTGTTAGTCAAAGAGTGTTTGGGTAGAAAATGAAACAGAACTGTGCACAAAGTACAAAGCTGTGCTTGACTGGGCCTTATCTCCTTAGGATTGGTCCAAAGGAAGATTTCTTCCACTGTTCAAAATGTAATTTATGTCTAAGCTTGAGTCTTCGAGGAAAACACAAGGTGAGAATATACCACTCTGTTACTTTTCTTAAAAAAGATAAAATAACAGGTTTCCTGCAATTGGAGATGCCTCAAATTGATCTAAGGCTGTACAGATAGGGAAAGCAGCAGGCTCTTTCCTGTTTCTCTAAATACATTTGCCATAAATGGCAACACAAGAAGCTTCTAGGCGGATTTTGCTTGGAATGTTACAAAATATATACATCTCAGTCATGTTCCCCTCTATTTTTGAAAGTCATTGGCTGTTTATATGGCAGTGTATCAGTCTGAGATGCTGTTTCTGCTGTTGGTATAGGAAGAGCTAGGCTATTTATTGTTGTGGAAGTCCTGAAAACAATTTCTTGTATATCATTTGAAGTTTATTAATTTTATTTTATTTTACTAGACCAGTTGTTAATTCTCAACATTTAAACGTTGAATGAAAAAAGTGAGGCTTATACCTCTTTATTTATTGTAAAGGATTATGAGACTTAAAAATAACAGCTATATGCAGTATAATAATTTTTCTTTTGTTTTTGCAAGTGCATAGAAAATGTCTCCAGGCAGGATTGTTCAATATGTTTGGAGGTGAGCTAATTTTCTTCAGCACTTAAAATTGTGCTTGGTTCTACTTCTTTCTCTGTTTTTAGTTAACAGTTCTTTTCTGCCTTTTGTCTACAGGATATTCATACATCTCGTGTTGGAGCTCATGTTCTGCCATGTGGTCACCTTCTTCACAGGTAAATATTGCGAATATTTGAATGCCTGCTATATTGTGCGTGCTGTATTCTGAGCATTGCTACAGGCCTGGTTGATGTCTGTTTTGCTCAGAGATCTTCTTTCCCCTTCAACTCAGGATATTTTTGACTTCTGCTTTGGGGATAGCTGTGTGGTTTTTCTCTTCCCTTCTGCACAAATGGGTTACTGGTCAGTAATTACTCTGTTGTTACTAAACCTCTTATTGATTTTTCTTTTCAGAACGTGTTATGAGGACATGTTAAAGGAGTAAGTATTTCTAACACTGTCTTGTCTTAATCTGGTAGTCATCTAGGCAGATTACTTGCAGAGGCAAAGACGATGTTGCTAATCCAGTAATCATTATCTAAAGGCAACTCTTAGCAGGGGAAAAGGGTGTTATAATTCCCTGTTTTTCTGTAGGATAATCCCATTCATCATATTTTTCCTTGAGTGTTGTGTTAAGAAACTTGTTCTTTTCTTGATATTTATTTCATAGCCCATCTCCATCTCCTAAACGAAGCTTTTTTGTTTATTTTCATGTTTTCGCCAGAGGTTACAGGTGTCCTTTGTGCATGCACTCGGCTGTAGATATGACCAGGTACTGGCGTGAGCTGGATGACGAAGTCGCGCAGACGCCTATGCCACCAGAGTACCAGAACATGATGGTGGAGGTAAGTGATGGTACTTGTGCTCATGGCAGATCTGTACCTTTCCAGTATGGGCAGTAGAGGGCATCAGAAACTTCTCCTGGATCAGAAATCCAAGGGACTGTTGGGATATGAGGAGAATATTCTTGTGCAGGTGTATGGTATTCATGTAGTGATTAAAAAGTGAAGAGGGGGTGGTTAAAAAGACCTAATACAAAAAAAAAAAAAAAAGTTCTAGGTACAGCACTGTGCTAGGTGCTCTAGCACCTTACTAGGTGGCATAGCAAAGAACAGCAGCATGTTTTTAAAGAGTTTGGAGCTTCAGGTTTCCGAACAAACACCCGATCCATGCAAGGAGACCTGTGCTGTACTAAAAGGAAATGCTTCTTGTACCTGCTTGGTAGCTGCAAACTAAAAATTAATTCTGCCCTGTGTACTGCTTTGTTGAGACACCTGCCTGTCTTCAAAAGGAGAGTATTTCCTGGTTGGTGCTCTGATTGCAAACCAGTTTTGTGCTTGCTTAAAGCCTGCTTGTCACTCGTTGTGGAGCGTCCTGTTGATGCTAAAGCCTCTCTTGCTCTCCCTTGTGTGTGCACAGATCCTTTGTAACGATTGCAATGTCCGGTCTACAGTGCAGTTCCATCTCCTAGGCATGAAGTGCACAAACTGTGAATCCTACAATACTGCCCAAGATGGAAAATGCAGGCTAACTCTGGAGCAGCAGTGAGTAAGATGCGTGTTGCGTACAGCTGGTCAAGGAAAAGGCTACTGTGGAAGAGACTTTTTTTCTTCTTAAGAAAATAAAATTACTAAAAAAAAAAATCCAAACCTATGAACACCAAGATGGTTATAAAGTTTTAGGCTGGCACAAAGGAGTTCTACTAAGAGTATCCCCACCCTCAGTACCTGCTATAGCGTGCTGAAGCTCTTCAGGAAACTCCTCATCCAGCACTGCCAACCTGACAAGGTTGGTCTGTATGAGAATAGCACTCTCTGAAAAAGCTTTTCACCACCCCCAAGAAAAGGCAGCCTAGAAGAACAACTAATGAGATGTGAGAGAGATAGACAAGCAGTAGCTGTCAGCGCAGAGCGTGTTTCGAGGCAGGCAGCCAAAGGTGGATGTTGCTGACAGAGGCCCCGAGCATAACGCAGGGTGGAGGCAGAGCCATTCTGCTAGCACTCGTAGGGAACATTGATGGCTTTGAGATGATGCCTCGCATAAAGCTCACATCTGCAACATTTTGCGTAAGTGCTTCCCTTTCAAGAGATGTCTTTGAGGGCCGCAGAGCCATCAAGCGAATGGATGGAAAGGATGAGCTTGCAGAAATTGCATCTGGCAATTTGTGGACACAAGCGCGCACACCACGTGTGCAGAATTCATTTCCAAAGCAGGGCTGCCTTGTGTTAAAGGTAGACGTGGCACCTCTTAATTTAGATTCTTTTGCCAGCTGTAATCGCATGTAACCCAGATTTCTTCCTAATTTGCTTTATTCAGGTGCAGAGGCCTAGGTGTCATGGTGTTTTAGACACGTACGTAGCTTGACATGTTGACAGGCCGGTACGCGAAGGGAAGTGCCTAGCGTTACATGTGCAGGATTGCTGTTGGGCCAGCCAGGCCTGCTGAGCCTGAGATACTTGCTAAAGATGCAGCCTTTCATCAAGGTGCTCTAAAAGGTGTACAGGGACCAGTCGTCCTTTTTTAAGGAATAAAAAAAATTCCCATCCTCCTCTTTTATATGATATTCTGCCCAGTGTTTTGCAAACCAGGCGTTGCAGAAAGTCCTTCGTTTCTGAGAATTTTGGAAAGTTCAAGTAGTGTGGGGCAGGGCTCCTGCTGTCCAAACTTCATGAAATGGAGAAGTTCCTCCTCACCTTATGCAGATGTGTCTCTGACTTGCTCTGTGGCAAAGCAGCAGCCTTCTTCATTGGCCTGTGCCCTCTTATGTATGAAATACTAGGAATCGAATGATTGTGCTACTGTAGCTTGCGTTTACTTAGGTATGTTTTTCTGAGACACTTCTCTGATTGCTATAAATGAATGTAAAATGATGTCTATTAAAACAAATCATGCAATGTTTGTTGTGGCTTTATTTCACATAAAGCTTCCTCCACAGTTCTAGCTGAGTTCAAAATGTGATGAAGTACCATAAAATGAGGTTAGACTGAGATCATGAGCACAGGTCAGTGCTACTCGTGGACTTCTCCTTCACACGCCTTCCTTTACATTCGTACTGGCACTAGTGTTAAAGTGTTAGCACTGCAACTATGCTGCATCTGTGGTTCATGGATATGTTTACATACTTCATCTTTCTGTGATATTTGCTCCGTCCCTTGCTTAAAACAGTTCCCAAAACATAGTAAAAACAACATGTGCTATTACGTAATAAAGACATCACACACAGAGTTGACTTGGAAAGGGCCTTGCTTTTCCTCAAGGGTGACCTCCTCGGCTAAAGGGCACTGAATTGGTGCGTGTGCCTCAAGCGCTGGTAGCGTTTGTGGGAAGCGGCGTTTTTTGTCACCACAGCAGCGCTGTGTGTGGCCTGCGTGGGGAAAATAAGTGAAGTCACCAGGCGGGTACAGGAGGAGCCCCTGGAGAGCAGATGCGGAGGGCGGCAGCGCTGCCTTGCTGAGTCATGACTCCATCAAAACAAGCGGCCCGTCTGGCCAGGCATGCAGCAAAGCCCATCATGTAGCACTGGAGAGAATATCTCATTAAGATTAAACCAAGAGCCACTTGGCTCAGTGGAGCCAGCTGCGCTGGGAGCCACGTGCTTCCCAAATGCAGTGGATGTGAGTGACCTACCGTGTCTAAAAAAGCCTTGCAAACCTCTGCGGGTAGGCACAGTGCCCCGTGCCACTAGGTTGGGTCCAGGCACGGCCCGTGCTGTCAGCACGGGGTTGATGCCTCCAGTGGGAAAAGCCTGTGTGCTTTTCTTGGAGCAGGAATCTCCTGTCTTTCTGCAGAGCCAGCCTCAGGCTGGACAGCCTGTGCCAGCTGCAGGCCCACCCATCACAGCTGGGGAGAGGGACCCTCGTCTTACAGTTGGGCTAGATGATCCTGAAGGTCTTTCCCAACCATAATTATTCTGTGACTCTTCCTTGCAGCTCATCAGGCTTTTTTGGCTCTTCCCCTTGAGGCTGCCACCGAGAACCTCACATGGGGAGCCTCCAAGCTGGTGCTCCTTGGCTTTGCTAGTGGGATGAGGACCTGCTGGGCATGGTGAGCCACGAGGCCGCAGGGCCGTGGTTGGGCACCAGGGCTGGCAGTGGGGTGTTGGTGGGCAAGCGCAGAAAGACCCTTGCGTGCTCAGGTTGTAGAGCAGCTGGCAGCAGCAACCCTTAATTAGAAGCAAATGGTCAGCCTGGAAAAATAAAAAAACAACTGTGGGGGAGAAGCAGATGCAGCAGCTTGTCCATTAGCTCGATGAAATATAGATGCGTATAGTTAAAGAGGCTGTTGTGGAGGAAGCATTAGCACTGGGGAGTGGACTGTGCATGTTTATTCCTGGGGAAACGTGGGAACGGGGAAATGCTTGTGAAGGTTGATACCGAATATCCATGCCTCTTCCAGCAGTCTTTTCCATGGCACTTGGCTCGCTGCCCGCAAATCAGTTTCTATTTCTGTTTTTTGCTTTTGCTGAGAAAATGCTGTTAATCTATTTATCTGTTAAATAACGCAATTAGTCCAGGGAAACGAAAAGTTCCTTGGGCTTCCCGCATCTTCCTTTGGACGCTTGGCCCTAGCGTTGCGAAGAAATTTTATTTTATTGCTTTTTTTGATAAGAGCAGCAGCTGGTAGACTCCAGAGCTGTGGGAATACACAGTGGGAGGATAAGATAACACTTCTGGTGCTGGTCGAGTGTACTGCGTGTTTAATACTCCATATGCAGAGACTATTTGCCACCCGTGCTGAAATCAGGAATAAACTGCTCTCTCCTCAGTGTAAACCACAACATTCAACTGCTGCTGCTTCTAGAGGCAGCACCGCAGAGGTATTTCTGTTCATAAATCGCCGATGTTGATCCCGTGGATTCCTGCAGCCCTCCGAGGGGATGCCACCCACTGCCAGCGCGTTCGCACTGGAGCGAGTGGCATCGGGAAGAGCCTGTTGGACTTCCCTGCTCCTAGAGCGCTGCCGTCACGTGCGGGGCTCCTGCCCTGCCCCGCTGCCCACGATGCTACGGACGGAGCCAGGCGAGCTCGCTTTGTATAAATAAAACAGCTCTGAGATGAAAAAATAGCCAAAAGGCGAGGAGGGGAGAGGGAAATGTGTGGGCAGCTTTGAGGAAAACGAGAGCATCTCACTTTCATTTTTGTATATGAAACCGCCCAATCGGAACTCTGCAGGGCCCCCGCCCCAGGGGGGGAAGGTAGCAAAGTTTTAAGGCTTGTTTTGAACTTAGCCAGCCTTTGTCAGGGCAACATGAACCTTCCCCCCTGGTTTTTGCCTGGAGCTGGTGGGCTGGGCTGGGGTGTTTTGAGCCGTCCTCGCTTAGGCAATGCTCCGCAGGGTGCTGGGCGCTGCAGGATGGCCCCGTCGGCATCTGCTGAATGTCCTGCTCCCACCCCTAATGTGTGTGTGCTGGGGCTCCATCTGACAAGCCATGCTGCTACTGTGGGCTCCCTTGTTCCTCTGCCCTTGTGGCGGGGGTGTGATATTTAATGCAGGGGTGTGCTGGGGTGGTTGTGTTCCTCCTTTATTTTGCTTATTTACTTATCTTTTACGGGACATTTGAAGTGGCTGTAAAATGTACCCAGAAAGCCAAGTTAATTGGAGTCACCCAAGACTCTTTGGGAGAGCCCTAGGCCTCACGTGCGATTTGGAGCCATAACTCCTAGCAATGTATTCCTTGAAATGGTAGGAACTGAGCAGCTCCATGCAGCAGCAGCTGCTCAGGCAGATAAACCCCCTCCCATCACATCCCATCCCAACCCACCCTCTCTTTCGTGCCAGGAATGCAAAAAGTCAGGACACTTGGGTATCAAGCGCGCATGGGTTAACCGGAAAACTGGAGCCATCTACGTCATCTTCGGCATCCGCTTCAGGCTCCTGGCTCCCCAAGCCCATTTTTGTCTCGCTGTATCCACTCGCCTGGCTACCCAGCCTCATTACATATATGTTTTTTTTCCTCTCCCCCCCAAAAAAGGCAATCCGTGGTGCAGCACTATTTTTAGCCGCGAGATTTACTGTCAGGCAGCAGCTCGGTGGCGTGGGAAAGAGCGCCGTGTCCCTGCAACGCTGCCGCCAAGCCCCGCTCCAAACCCCCAAGGCTTAGCCCGGCCTCCAGTGTGCAGCCATGTCCCCCACCTCCCCCACTGCTTCTTAGCAATCAATTTTAATGCTGTAAGATCAGGCTGCCCATTTCCGGGTGGCTTTTCCCTTCCTACTTCCTTATGGTGAAACAAAGCAAGAAAGCGCTTCATTTTGGGGGCAAAGCCATTGCTTCCCAATCGACTACCTCATTCACGATTCATAGTCGCGATCCCTGATTTTCCAGAGGAAAACTCCAACAGCAAAAACTGACTTTGAGATTTTTTTAAAAAAAAACCTGCGCTTCCTGGCCCAAAGCACGAGCGCTGAAGTGTAGGACAAGACGAGGAGAAGGAGCTCTGAGGGCTCTGCACAGCGGTGGTTTCTGAGGGGTGCAAGTTTTCTTGCAGGTCTCCGCACGAGAGACCCTGGCGCTGGGCGGGCGAGCATGGGTGGCAGCGTCGTGGCACCTGAGCTTCTCCCTCAGCAAAACCCCACTGCCATCAGCCACCCTAGGCGGCCAACGACCTTGG